GCATAAATCCAACCTATCCTAGATTATTCAGCCACCCGCTGTCACCACCCTAGCTGTGATAACTTTCAAGTTGTTTTATTATATTATTAGACTCCATTCCATCTGATACCTTCTTGAACTCAGTGGTTAGAGCGCGAATTCACTGACCAGAAGTTTCGTGATTCGAACCCAACTTCTGCCTCTCGACTTCCAGTGTCTAGGCTTAGGCAACCTGGCAGTATGTCAGGTCCAGTGCTTCCTTCTGGTGGCATGGCAGTTATACACCAAAAGGATACTACAGCTAAATATTTTTAAATCCCTAGACCGTGGTGCTCTTAACTCATCCCCTCCTCTTCCTAAGCTACGGTATTCACTCCACCTGGTCTGTGCTTGGCATTTAAATGGATCATTATCCGAGCCGAAACTGCCTATGATCCTGCGTCGGCTTTGTGCTACCACACTGAGCCTCCATGTCCTACCGAAAATCTCGTTGCCCAAAAACTGCATATCCACAGTCCGACCTCTGGGCTATCCTAACCATCACCATTTATCCTGCTGGTAATTCTCCCGTCCTCTGGTCGGCGCAAGCTCGTGCACTAATGTGCTTCATATGCAAGTCATCTCCACCGTAGCTTAATTGACCTCCAAATGCATCACCAAAACGTGTCTCTGTTTACGCACACCTGATGTCCTTATCTCATTCACGGGATGAAGCATGTTTTGGATTGATCAGATTTCCATGGTGGCGGTTTTCATGTACACACCAGAACCTGAATGGATTTCTCCCTCATCGATGTACAACATTAGCCGACATTCCAGAATCAATTTGGCCATCGGACCACCGGTGAAATCCACTGTATATCGTTGGATGATTATATATGCCTCCACCACGCATCCATGGCACGCTTAAATAATTGTCCGTGCTCCTTCCACATGTACAAGCTCTACCTCGATCGTCGACAATCTCAGCCTTTTTAAAATATGCTGGTCCTGATGGGAACAGTTCATGTAACTTTCACCTCTGCTGAATTAACTAGATGTAAAATGTTGAACTGAGCCCGTTATGCACTTCACGCGCAATCTTCTCGCTGTCCCAAAAGATCAGAGCACTACTGTAGCTTACGGACGCTCCATGGAGCGCCTGTATTTTATTGGGCTGTCGATCTTTCCCTTCCTTGTTTGCGAGACCCGGCACTCAGGTTCTCCTCCGGCTTGAACTTTTCTGAACGTCTGTCCTGCAAGGAAGTCAGAGTCCGCAAGTTGTTCATTTCACACCAGACGATGTTTAGTTAGCATTAATACGCAGCCTGCAAGTCTTGGTCTCAAAACTAGTGTCGAACTTGCTTCAAACTCTCCACATGACCTCCGGACTGCCTCAAAGTTATAATAATAGGTTTGTTTCATGCCTTGTAGGGTACATGCTAACTGAGGTATGATCGTGTGGATATAACCTGAACGCAGCAGGCAACAGAACAACGGGGAGAAAGGCACAACCAACGAGACTTGCTTATTACGGTTTGAGAATTGTAAAACAACACAGACAATGGGCACGAGATATGACTAGTTCAACTATTAGGCCGGCTGAAAATAAAGTACAACCGAAATACATTGCTGACCAGCGGTTTGGTTAGTGACCAAGGTCATGGAAAGTTAAAATGGAGGCGCAGATAAATAATTCTAATCGGAGACAAATGGCAACTCTTGTCTGAAAGATAGAAAAATAACACTCAAGTTTATTCCCAACTTGTGGGTAGCATGCCGTCAGATATCGCTGTAGGGTTACAGCAAGAATAAAAAATAACTAGGGGGTTGTGGGTCTAGAGGTGTCGGGAAAAGAGACAGCGTCGTAGGGGGTGGGCTTTATCTGATGTAGACATGGTCCTCAATAAACCGGCGCGAATAGGGAAGCATAGTCAGTATGCCCTTCTGTGGAGAACGTCGAGCAATACAAGATCGTTAGAATTTGAAGATGGCGGGTAAAAAAACAGGGAGGGTAAAACAAGAGGCAGTCTCTCTGACGTATGACAAAAAAGCTTTAGATTGTGGAAAAAAGGAATCAGAGCATAGCATCTGGTGGAATAGCGAAGTTTGCGTTATCAAGCCGGTCAACTTAAACTAAAACATAAAACTACCTCTGAGGCCTCGTGGCCTCGGACTGTTGGGCATATGGCCAAGGTCACAAAAAGCTTGAGTGTGAAAGATGAAGTGAGGGGAGCAAAGCGGATAAATTGTAACGGGGACCTCAAAAACATGGTGTACAGTGAACCTGTAGAGACTCACTGGTGTCACTGCTGTGGAGTCGGGCATAATAGCTTCTTGGAAGAGTGACATGGTGACACACGAGCCAGAACGCAAACTGTATAGAAAATTATTGATTTCGAGGGAAAAAGAGTGAAATCCCAACGAAATTGCTAAATTAAGGCTACAAGTTCAGCAGTTTGGAAACGGACATATCATTCTACTCTCCCCCCATAAGCTCCTTCATCCCCCCAGCACACTTGAAGTATTTCCACTCTCGCTGGGCCACAAAGCCTGGAACGATACGTTCTTCGTTGTGACACGCAAAGCGTGATCTACATTTTCTACGGCAATGTACAATCATCACTTTGTGGTTTCCTCCACACATGCGTCCCACGTATCTGGTTGTTGATCAGCCAGACGGTTACCACGTTGCCACGTTTCAAGGCCATTAACTTGAAGTGGCCCCTAGATGTGAAAAGACAATTGCCTCGGTGGGTGTCTACGTTTGACAACAAAAGGTTGCTTCCGGTAAACTTTTGAAGAATTAAGTCTTACAACTACGAGACATTTAAAACTTATGGTAGTGCGCTCCAGACGAGTTAAGGTTACCATACATGTTCGACTTCATCTTGTTAACATGATTTGAATAACCACTAAATCAACGACGACAAAATTCATTCCATGTTGTTACCGGGTAGACGAAAGCCTCAGAGACGGTAGGCAGCGCGTTGGGCCGCATTGTACAACCATGCCACCCCAAGTTCTACCGTCGAATTTGTCAACGAGGAAACGTTTATGGTATAGAGGAGAGTTTTGACCCGGATTTTAGCTAATTGCCAGTCACCAGTCGATGTGACACTGCTTGGGATCACGTTATAAACCGCCACTCGATCCCCTTCGATTGTGGCTTGCTGGCTTCATTCATTTTACGTTGCAGCCTGTTAGGACGCGTCCAGACGGGAAAAAAGCACATGTTCAACGAGTGATGCATCACCAAGGTCACCATCGGTACGTCAGGAAAGTACGTGAGTTGGCGGTTCTCACCAAACACGGCTTAGCAACACACGACCAGTGTATGTACGCTCTGTATGTTTTGTCCTGACTATACAGTCGTATCCCGAGTTCTCTGTCTTCTCCCTATCGCGCAGTCTGTCAGGCTCAGTGCAGGCGTAACCAATAGACGGCCAGCCACGATACAACATAACCATTATGTCGTACGCGACAATGGCCAGAGTAACGCCGAAAATTTTAGCTTCAAACGCGCACGGGCTTGGAGGGCAATGTTAGTGGACAATATTCTCTAGACTCTTTTCTCTCTTTGCCAAGCTGCCCAACTCGGTTCCCAAAATTTCGTCGTCAACAAAGGTGAAATTCCCAGTAACCGTCAGCTAGTCTTAGTACCTCGATGCTCATGACATTTTTGGAATTATGCGCCATTTGTTGTTTTGGAATGTTACCGCCGATTATGATTGGTTGGTTAAATGATCAGTACAGTTGATCGTCTGGCTCGCATGACGTTTTAGATTCACCATTCTAACTCACTTCCATGGTCTTTCACCTGCCGGTCCCGCGGTTTACACTTTTGTACTTGACCTACCGTCCCGCTTGGGTTGTTAATTAGGTTGGTCGTCCTTCTTTAGTGGGGCTTAGGCTGCGTTGGTTGCGACATGACAGCTAACCGAATTCGAGGCACAGTAGCGTGCATCTATGGACCCATTTGTGTGTCGTTTATTCGCGTGCCTGGATCTCCATGGTTTCCAGATCATTACCATGTCCCTCGTCTTCTTGGTAGGAAAATGAGGAAAGCGTATCATGCCTTCTGACTACTGCAACTTGGTCTTTCGCCAAGTTTATGGTTTGTATCTTGTTGTTCCAGCAGCATTTGTAACAGCTGATGAATTTACTTCGGTGAACATCAATGTTTCTTGTGTCCCGGTAGACCTTCTTCGGTACCGAAACCGATTCCCCCAAAGTAGCCATTGGTTTTTAAGCTATCAGGAGCCAGGTTGTTTGCATTGGTCTAACTGTAGGTTAAGAAAGACTTCTGACGTACGCTGAGGCTATAGTTTGCTTGTGTGCTTATGCTTACGTTGGGATTGTTGCTGTCGAAAATCATTTTCTTCGCACTCCTTTTAACTGACTGGGATGGGTAGCGGTAATTTTGATCTGCTTGGCTATCTAAGGTTTTTCTAAGCATAGTTGCATTTTAGTATAATTCCGCCTTCCTGAAAACTTGCGATTCATTGGGTGCTTGCTGCGGTAATTCAGCATCTGATACACACGTGTTTTCTGCCGATGCATGAATGTTTGTAGGTACCTGTGCGCAGTACGGCTAGTTAGCACATCTGAATTCTCTTTTATCTGTCCCTCAATATAGTCTTTAGCAGCTCATGAGTAGGTTGCTCTGCAGAAATTTTCATACCAACTAGGTGTATTCCAGGTTACAGATCAAGAAATTTGGACTGATTGTTAGAGTTGTATTGTGCCTCGGCCTTCTATCATGGCATGGACAATGAAGCCGGATATGGATGATCCATGAAGAATCCCTTGCAACTGATCGCAAATCTCTCTATCAAATTTGAAGTGCGTAGCTATGCAGCGCTTCAGTGATTTGCACGTGAGTATTGGTCTTATTTCTCTCGATATGTCTGGATTGTTCCGAAATAGTCCCTTCACGGCTTGTCCAGCGAGTCTATGGTTCTTGAAGTGAATAATACAATGACGCCAACATCACAGTTTGGTTATTCCCAATTTCGACCTGCCATTTGTTGAGACACGCTTCAGAGGGGCACACCGTGTATTCCAGCAGCAAGACCCTCTACCCCTTTGTAAGCCGTTTGCTTGCTTGAAACTTTTTGGAAATTTGTCCCTTGGCAATAATGGTGCCATTTGGATTCGTTATACACCAACCGAAAATAGTTATTTTGCGTGTCTTCGCAGAGTCCTAAGTGTCGGTGTAGCTGTTTGCTTGCAAATTGAGGTCCTGGTTCATCGGTGGATAGACGCATGCACGCCGGTAGCTGCTTAGGTGCCATACTCGGATACGGGTCATCCGGTACCACTGTCATTGGGTTTCTATTTTCTGGTGGCATAATGTAGACCCATGCCATCACTTTTTTTACCAACCACGCGCCCCGTTTCGATATTGCTGGGGCATTTTATTCGCAATGATTGCTGATTCAAACACTTCTGTTGCTTCAAGTGTCTCAGTGAACAGCACACCGACCGGCCTTTTGACTACCTATCAATCTAAGGAGCTCCATGATGTTTATCTGATGTGGGGGACCCCGTGCAGAGCTAAACGTGGATACGCTCCTTCAGACTGCGCTTACACACTGACGTATTCCGGAGACTATGAATAAATTGGACCACTACTGAACTGAGATGAATTTCCATTGAATGTTTCATAGTTTTTTGAAAACATCCGGCTGGCCCAAACTGGTTGCGCCACTCTCTTGATTGGAGAAAAATCAGACGGTCCTGAGCGTTTCATTGGTCACTTGCAGAACGAGATCGAGCTACGAGTCGCAGAGCTTCACATGAAGTTCAACGGCCTCATGTAGAGCCCCGATCTCACGACAAGCAACTATTATATATTCATTATCCACAGAACTGGCAATGAACGACAACCAAGGTGATAATCCACGTGCTTATCTTAGAAGCTGCACATGGGGACTGTGGTATTATTCGATGTGGTTGGAAGAACTAGTAGCAGCCCCACAGGAATGTGGAGGGAACGCGCAACGAAGCAAATTGTTGTGCTATTCAGCCATTCTTATGCAAACTAGGTTTGTTAGATAGAATATTCAAAGATCTTACTAAGAGGAACTCCATTCATGCAACAAATGGCTTTGCGGAGGCACCTTTGATCGGAAATCCCAACGGATATCACCCGGTTGTACCATCGACCGGACCTCCTTGGCCCCACGATGTTCCTAGCTGTAGAGCCTTTACGAATGGAATAAAACCTTTTATGCCGAAATCTTGCGTTTTGTTGCGTACGTGGTCAAACTAGAACTCCATCCTTATCTACGTCCAGATTATCGCAGACCACCAAATTCCATTGTCAGTTGAAGAAATCGCACTTCTCGGGGCAATATCCAGGTGGAATACTTTCCTAGCATCAATGGGACGCCGGGATGTCAAGATGTTCCTCAAAAGTCTGGGCTGGTATCCTGAACACAATTCCCTGCGTTTTTGGCCCATCAAGGACACGAAATGGCTCACAAATTTCAGTGCCATTGTGAGAATAATGGGCCCCCCTCTGAGCAGGCCGAGCATTAGACGCCCACTCAAAATTTCTCTGCAACGGTAGTTTGAAAGAAGGGATCTTCATCATAACGTTTTAGTGTTTGATGTTATATACACATGCCCTTAAAAGTTCCACATGCGGCCGCAGTTTTACTAGAAGTTTTTAGACGAACTCGGAGTCGTTATGAGCGTGTAATTCGTATTTCAGTGGATGCCTACAGCTTCACGTATTATGTCTTTGAAAACGATGTGAAATTTTGTGAAAAAGTTGATTTCTTTAAGAATCACGCCCCTTTCATCCGCGCAAACTCAGAATGGAGTGGCCGTTCGCGAAGTGCATACGAAAAATTCATCTATCGCTGCGGCAAGCGCCCCTCGGAACCAAGTAATCCGTCACAGCTAGTAAGTGTTTTCATGATGGTCAGCACACGTTATATCTGGCGTGGGGCAAGGTATGATCTCCACTGATACATATATCCACTAATGGCACCGTTGGGTGAACTATTGGATTTGTGGACAGAACAGACCGGTGGTACAGTAGGATGACAACTTTCTTTCAGGTCCTCCAACAAATCAAGCGGACTGAGACGGTCTTCTGGGTGCACGTAACACACTCGTCTGGGAAATATTATTAATATGGTGAACTACGAGTGGGCCATCAATTTGGGCATGGTAATCGCGGTAACGTCAACGCGACGCTGTACTTGGGTTTGTCAAGAGCCTCGTACATAATTATCTTGGATGAACCGTTTGGGGTTGTCATTGTAGTTAAGATATTCTTGGATGGTACCGGGTACAATTGCGAGTATGAGGGTCCGTACTTATGCCGTTAGACTAGGATATCACGCATAGTCGGGGCCTCATTTTGATCAGTCCGCATACATACTGGCCTGATGCTTAATAAAAGTGGCAAAGTTAAGCGGTATCGCGCATAGTTTTGGGTGAGTTACTCTGCCATGGCGAGGCCCCATGATCAGCGTGGTACAAAGATACGGACCCAGTAGTTAAGACAAGTAATCGAGGTGAGTGACAACGACTACCCTTATCCTAGTGATCGCTTTCTGGCGGTCACCACCTGTGGCGTGTCGTATTCCCAATAGGAATGACATCACTGTGTTAGTAGTTTACCAACAGCTATCCCGTGACGCCGTATTATCTATAGGCCAGTGGGAAGAGGATCATTCTCGGAGATCGCACTTGCACCTCCACTGCACAGTTCGTGCTGCTGCCTAACAGTGTTGTACTTATCGGAAGCTGAGCTTCACAGGAAAATTCGGTGCAACGAAGCTCGCTGAACAAAATCATCGCATTTGTTAAATCTGCGGAGTTTAAAGCAAAAAAACGTCAATGACCGATTTTCCTGAATGGAAATTGCATCGGTTATTCAGTAGATGTAATTTTTTCCTTACGAACACCGAAGAACGCCAAAACATGCTAGAGTGCAATTTTGGGATTGCTTTAGCCCATCTGGTACACTTAATATCTTTCGAAAATTCAACTACATTGTGCGATTACTGAGCTCCATAAAATACTTCCCCAGCATCGTTGATATCCCGAGATGCCTAGATGGAGCTCAGAAGATTGCACTCGTACTCCGAACTCAATTGCCTGTCTCTTTTAACCCAAAAAGGCACGTCGGAGCTTATGAAAATTCAATTCCATTTTGCGAATACTGAAAGCTCTCCAGTTACCCTGGTTTAAGCTATCCGCTTTCGTAGGTATTGAAAATCTTTTGTTTTCGAATTACCGTCTTCTCTTTACTAATTTGCTCTTGCAGAAAACAGAGAAACCGGTTGTGTACCATCGGTACGTCCTCCGCAATTCTGTCAGTGACGTATTCCGTCTGTTGTGTAAACCTATTGTTTTACTGGGCGGCACTGTTTTTGGCGGTCCAAGGTCGGCGTCACGTTTGTGCTCGGAGTTCTTGTCTAAAACTCGTTCTTTTATTAGAGTGAACATGGGCGCGTATAAGTTCATGCAGGAGCTTTATAGGCATAAACAGTCCGACGTGATGCGATTCATACGTCGGATGCGTTGTTGGGAATATAGGCAGACGAACGCCATTGTTCGCTGCAGTCGTCCGACCCGTCCTGATCGCGCAAGACGTTTGGGATACAAGGCAAAACAGGGATATGTGATTTATCGTATTCGTATACGCCGTGGTGGACGTAAGCGTCAAGTTGCAAAGGGGGCAACTTTCGGAAAACCCACCAATGAGGGTGTCAACCAACTGAAGAATCAACGTTCGATTCAAGGTGTCGCTGAGGTAAGTCTATGCTCTACCTGACTTTCGCTCCCTAGGAACGGGTTGGTCGGAAGTGTGGGGCGTTGAGGGTCCTGAACTCTTATTGGGTTGGGGAAGACAGCACCTTCAAATTCTACGAGGTGATCTGCATCGACCCCTTCCACAAAGCGATCCGGCGTGACCCAAGCATTCGTTGGATATGCAAAGCCCACCAGAAGCATCGGGAGATGCGTGGATTGACATCGGCTAATAAGAAGTCTCGTGGCTTAGGACGTGGCCACAAGTTCCACAAGACAATCGGTGGATCACGACGGGCCGCGTGGAAACGTCTGAACCAAGTTCCCATGCGCCGAAAGCGGTGATTGTAACTTTTCCGTCGGTATTACAATTTTCGGTGATGCTTATGTTCTCCATAGTTCCTGGTTAGGTAGAAGTCAGGATTTTAGTAGTTTTTCTGATAGCGGAGCTCCCAGGTGCGTCGTATACGTTATCGTCTTTTGTAAACGTGCATGGGTTGGGCCGATTCTAACGCTTACCAGCTCATTTGTTAACACTCGTATGGTCCGCTGAATTCTCCTCTGTGTCCCCGTAGTACGCTTGAATCATACCCAAATTCTCATGAGTTTGATGCCACGGCGATAAATTTGGTCTCAGCAGGCAACTAAGTGTGTCCTGTCTCTGGCGATGATGCCTTTGGCGCGTCCAGATGCACTGCGCTTTCTAGTTTCCTGTGTCGTGCGCTTTGATGTTTACGTATATGTTAGTAGTTAGTAGGTTTTGTCAGCTGTCTGCTCAATATTCCGTACACGCCAAACATCTGGTGTTGGAATTATAAAGGAGTACGTTTCCGGTGCTGTTTACCTACGGGGGCCAGATGGCTCAAGTGTGGCAGAACACGAATTCACTGACCCGTAAGTTCCGTGATTCTAAACTAACTACAGCACCTAAACTTCTGGCAACCTGAAACAATCTCAGCTCTCGTGTTTCCTTCAGGTAGCACGGCAGTTAGGCCCCAAAGCGGTTCCAGCTGAACGATTTTTTATACGTTAGTGGTCGGCATGAAGCTCGAAACGGCTCACTGGTCAAAGCGCGAATTTACTGTCCAGAAGGTCCGTGGCTCGAACTCATCCTCAGCATTCTGACCGTTTTTTAGGCTTGGAAAGCGTGGCGGTATCTCAATCTTGCAGTTTTTCGGTGGCGTGCTAGCTGGACAAGATAGCCCAGTGGTTAAAGCGCGATTTTTTCGACTGTAACGTTCGTGGTTTGAACTTGACCTCTGCCTTCCGATTTCCCCCGTCTAGGCTTGGGCAACCCGGCACTATCCCAGCCCTGGTGCTTCTGGTGGCATGGTAGTTAGGGTGTTACAGCTGAGCTACTAATATTTTATCGTCTGCTCTTCCCCCAACGAGCCACCCACCTAGAATGTGAAAAAAGACTACAAAGGGTAGATGTTGCCGCGGTCAGCCATGCAGGGTGGGGACCACTAGACTTGCGTGAGCTTCGCTGGATACCGCAAGAAATGATGGCCCATCCTCATCGACTGCATGACATCAATGTTCAAAACTGAAGATCTGCTGACGCTGTCATGATTTATTTGAAAACCTTATTGTGAATAACAGAATAAAGGCGGACGGGTAAGGGACTCTGCTAGACTACTACAATCATCCCGGGGTGCCTACACCTTTAGACAATCAGGCAATATGGATAGAAACTGATAACAAGAACGCCATTGACATCGACTATCACCCATATCTTGCACCGCCTCCAACCAGGTGCAGTGAGGATCAGGTGGTCCTCGTCCTGGAAGGCGAGTGACACCGATGGTACCTAAATTGCTTGGGCGCCGGCAATATCCCTCACCGCCTCCAACCAGGTGCAGTGAGGATCAGGTGGTCCTCGTCCTGGAAGGCGAGTGACACCGATGGTACCTAAATTGCTTGGGCGCCGGCATCAAATATCCCTCCTCGCCTTTTCTTTTCTGCCCAAGATTTTAAATGAATGAAATTTGCGTTGGCACGGCAGTGGAGCATCAGTGTCAACCCTGATGTTGACCTGTTCATTGTTGAGTTTTCCAATAGGGAAGTGAAGCATCGGTGTTGAACACTGATGTCATGCTCTCATGCTGATGTCATGATGGTGATGAGTTTTCCATTTAGCAGCGGACTGAAGTAAGCACTTCGGAGCGGTCATTTTCATGTTCCATCTATATAGTTTCTCTACATTCTACTGAGTTTGGGAGTAGCTGGACACCAACCCCTTTGGATCGCCCAGCGTCTGACCTTGACAGCTGGCTGTTTGTCCAGTGGTGATTTCCGTTCCAATTGCATTTACTGCGCGTCTTCCTTGTGGGGCTAACCGCTAAGCCAAGCGCATGGAGCAGATCTCGATAACGCAACTAGTCTTTAATCTGTAGCACCCTTTCGGTGCCCAGCTGCTATGCAATCCTAGGATGCACAAAGGGGTTGTGCCAGGTCGCCTAAGTCTGAACGGGAGCAATTGAGATACTGAGGTGTTCGAACCACGGGCCGTCCGAGTAGTAGGTTTGCGCCCTAACGAGACTACGTACAGCGTTTGGCTGATCTCAAAACTGATGCTCCCATGCTTCTGTGGACCAACCTGCTGGGGGTACTTCGCTGTAGGCTCACCTGCGACGTCAATCAGTTTTATATGACAGTTCACTTTTCGAGACTGGCCTTGTTGTTTGGAGGCGTGAATTGTCCGCACGAAAGCATGTTTTTATGTATTATCAACTTCTGAAATAGGCAAAGTCGTCTGGCCACATGATGTCCTCTGACAGCATGCCAGCTACGAAGTTAGACTGATCACTTACTGACTACCGGTCGTTTTGGAGCACCTCTGTGAATCCCGACCATGCATACTCGTTTCTCTTCGTTTCCGTGGGCCGCGTAAGGGACGGACGACCAGTCTAGCAAGTATGAGTCTGACAAATACGGAATTCATACTAGTTTGAAAAAATAGTTTTCTGGACTCTTCCAGATGCTTCACCGTCGAGTTTCATTTTATTTTTTCTGAAATGAGATGGCCGCGTTGTCGGGGATTTTGCTCGTGGCATGGAGCTGCCGAATCCGATCAAATATTGGATATCATATAGAACATTACTTCTGCTTGAGTCTCTTACAGGTGTTCTAACGGGCCATGAACGTAATTCAGCTTGGCGAATTACCAGACGTCAAGTGCAGGTGAGCTTGATTGTCACACTTGGAGCCTGGTGGATACAGAAGGCTAGGGAAGTGGAGGAGGCCCGGGAAGCCGGGAATTTCCGTAGATTTTTCCGGTTAGTCCGTGCGACCGGCCCCCGAAAACCGTCTGTTAGTGAGCCATCAAGGATCAAGTTGGTGCGACCATCATCATTAAAGAACGGCCAGCCACTGGCCGAATACTACGGACGTCATTCCTCGTGGACAGAGAATCCAGAACCCCTATGGCCTTGGATTTTTATCTTTAGATACGTCCTTCATGTTTTCAAACGTGTGGAAGTATATGGAGAGCTCTCCAGAAGCTTCCGTAGTATTTGACAAGGATACCCACTATCCATTCCTTTTTAATTTCGTGGTGGACAAGATAGTGGGACGAACACTGGGTGTGATTCAAGGGTTTATTGTTCTAATAGCTGCTAGAAAACCTCAATCTGGATTGTGAGCATCTCTGGATGCTTGTGGTAAGCCAACACAAGGTCCCTCCCTCATCCACTGTTCTTTCACTTTAGGGCATTAAATTTGATCAAACAAACTGGTACGACAGTTGAGCGTAATTACCAACACTGATGTTCGTTTCGGTGATGATGGTTCTAATAGCTGCTAGAAAACCTCAATCTGGATTGTGAGCATCTCTGGATGCTTGTGGTAAGCCAACACAAGGTCCCTCCCTCATCCACTGTTCTTTCACTTTAGGGCATTAAATTTGATCAAACAAACTGGTACGACAGTTGAGCGTAATTACCAACACTGATGTTCGTTTCCGGTGATGATGATGATGATGACACATGCTAATGGAAACAGCATTTAGAAACATGTCCATGGATTCAAATCATCCACTGGAAATCTTGCACTCGACCGAAGGCATACTGAGTTTCACCGAAACCAATGAGTTTGATTAGTACCACGCATCCCTGTTGGTTATTTTGGCACAAGCCTTTAGAAAGCCCCGCTTGTGATCTCACATGATCGCAAGTCTGAGATGGCAGGCCAGTCGACAGAGTCAGTTGTGGCTTAAAAATACGGAGGTGCCGAAACTGGGTCACGACTTTGTTCTAGCACTTGGTGGAGTGTGAAGATAGGGTTGAAACAAGATCTGTCCGGCCAGAATTCCGCTTGTTGCTCTCGATTCACCGTGGTCATAGTCATCCAAAGTCGGAGTTTTCAGCTTCACCGTTTCTAGGATCCAACAGAATTGCTAGATTTTTTGAATGCGTTGGACGCGTCCTTTATTGTTGTTCGCGTTAGCTTGATCCTTGATGTTTTCGCTCACTCACCGGTTGTGTGGGTCGACCGAAGTTATTTTCCCACATTCCTCGCCTGTCCCATTTCTTTAGATGTTCTTGTCTACTAGGCGTCACGGTCGGCGCGCCGGCCAAGTTTCACTCAGTGTCCAATAAATCTCGGGTGATTTATGTTCTGTACCGGCAGAAATATTTCGAAAATCAAGTAGTGTTACTGTTTTATCTAATACTCGCTGAACTGTCACGATCGCCCGTGTACGGCAGTGAAGCATCAGTGCCAACACTGATGTTGCTGTCGTTGATGATGATGATGATGATGATGGTGCGGACAAAACCTCGGTTATTGTGCAGCGATGTGATGTTCTGCTAATTATGGTCGGAACAGTTGCAAGAGGCTCCAGGGGCCGATTACGGTAAATTCACCAAACTTTGAAATCTGCGAACTTCTTGATTGACAACCAAATTTTCCTCTTCATACAAGGACCCTGTTGTGTACGACGAGGGTCGGAGTGCAACGACAATCAGAATGACAATGGAAAAGACAGGCCCCGAAAACTAGGCTTTATTCATCCAAAACTTTGACACTGAGAGCTGAAGACGGAAGAAAGTGATTTAGCAACAAATGATGAAACGTTTGAAAAACAGAGCAAATATATAACATTCACCCCCCGCAGAAATGAAAGTTCTCAAGAGTTTGATGTATAATTGAATGATGCCAGGCCTCTGTTGCGCAGGACATACGGCCGTGTCCGCTGTGGTTGCTGCTGTTCGTATGCTGGACCACATCCGAAATCTGCTGAAGGCGCCAGGTGGCGTAGGGAGACCGTTTCTTCCATGCCGTTAGGGTGTCTGACATATGCGTACTCAGGGTTACATTCCAGGAGCTCGACCTCTTCGACTAGG